CACCATCTTTCCCTGCGGGGCCCATACTCATGATGCTTCCTGGGACGGACTCGGAGAGGTAGGCACCCGCTTCCAGCCTCCCCTTCTAGCTCCCAGAGTCCACGCTCGTGAGGTTTTCCCTTTACTCTTTTTCAAAACCTGAACACATTGCTTAAATGAAACTCACAGAAGAAAAGAGATGGGAAACGCAAAGAGAGACTGGAATGCGTGGACAATGGGAGGACACAGTGTAATAGAGAAGTAGGGAGAACTCCAAAGAAGTTGAGGGAATAGAGCACAGGCAATATTCAAAGTAAGAACCGTGGAGGATTTGCCCTGGGGACCAAGGACCGAGGCGAGGGAGAGGGGAGGTATTGTTTCCTCGGCACAAACTTTCAGTTTTATGGGATGAAAAGAGACGTGCGGATGGGTGACGGTGATGGACACACAACGAGTTGATTGAACTTAATACCACTGAACTGAGCACTAAAAAATAGTCAAGGAAGTAACGTTCTTACTATGCGTATTTTAAAACCATAAAAAAAGAAACAAATGGAAAACATGGGGTAAACTGAAAATAGGACGTAAAGTATAATCATTCTACGTCAGTTATCATATGTATGTAGACGGAATGAATTTGGGAGGAAAAGACAACGAGTTGAGGCTGGCAAGAAGACACCATTGCATGGCGCTCTGGGACGGGGGTGGGGTGTGGGGGGCCGTCAAGTTCCCGAGAGGTTGAAAGTTGCAGGATGGAAATATACATCCCAGGCAACCGTGACCAAAAGATGCACCCATGATGTTGGGGTGGGAGGTGCACTAGTGTCTTCAGTGGACCAGGGGAGGGCCCTCTGGGACCAAGAGCCAGCATGGGGCCTCTTGCCACTCACTCAGTAGGCTGCCTAGAGGGATGGAGGCACCAGAGCCGCCGCAGGTGGCGATGAACGCACCGCACGAGCCCTCGGGCTGTCAGTCTTCTGCAGCGCCCAGGTGGAGTACGGATGCATCTGGCGACGTCAGGGACGCATCTGGCGACGTCAGGGACACTGCCAGAGAGAGCCGTGCGGGAGAAGCCCCCACCACAGAAAGCTCCGGGTCTGTACAGCTGCCTGGCTTAGAGAGCGTGATGTCCGCTCAGGATGACAAGATTCACTAACAGCCCTCTCATTGTCTCACCGCTGTCCCGTCTCAAACCGATGAGCAAGCTGGGTGGCAGACGGGGAGAAATAGGAAGAGGCACGCGCGCGCACACACACACACACACACACACACACACACACACACACACACCTTCCCCCTTCCCGCTGCTGGCGCCACCTCATGGAGACCCAAGTTCAAAGCAGTGAGCGCTGCGGTTTTCAACGTGGAGGACAAGAAGCAGAACGTGAACGAGATGAAGGAAACCCGGAGTCACAGGGGTAGGAGACGATCCTGGGGAGGAAGCAGGAAGCACAAAGGTACAGCGGTTGGAGATGCCCGTGTTCCATGGAAAGGCACCCGTGGGCTCCACGGCGTCAAAGACCCAGTGGGGTGGAGGCACAGGGTGCTGGGCGGCCGAGGGTGTCTGCTCGCCAGGACTGTTTGTCCACTCAGGAAACACTGCCTGTGTCTTCACCCACGTCACACCTGCCACCCATGAGGCCAGGCCGAGTTGTTGGTCCAGCGTGGAAGGACAAGCTAAAAGGCCAGCCCACTGCACCTGGAGTCCCATGTCTTCCCCGAGCTGCGCACAGCAGCTGCGCAGAGAGTCCAGATTCCATGCAGAAGCTGCAGGCCCCTGTGGGGTCCACTCTCTGGCTTTCGGATTGCCGGTGTGTCTCCTGCTGGCGATCAGCCTGGAAGAGGGAGCTCGGGGAGGGTCAAGGCTGTTTGTCTGCTCCTTGGTCTGTCTGCTGGGAGGAGCCCGGGTGCATCTCCCCTCCCTGACTTCACAGCACTTGACCAGGTGGCCGGGGCCCTGCCCTCTGCTGGTCTGCAGCCTGCAGCAGGGGAGAAGCCACTGTCCCCAGCCTGGGGCCTGCCTGTGTCCCGACTGTGTCCCGCCGGCCCCGAGCAGGCTCCCCGGCACCCACACTGGCCTGCGGGCCTCGAGGTCCGTTGCCTTCTCGCAGGCGCCCTCTTCGGGGTGGAAGGAACACCGGACCCAACCCAAGCCCTAGAAGACGGGCAGCAGCGTCCATCTATCTACCTCCCCACCCGCAGCGCACCTACCTCGCTGTTTCCCCCAACACAAGGCCCCATCGCGGGGCCTCCGTCTCTCCCAGACCCGCTCGGGTCCTTACTTTAAACAGCTGTGTTTAGTGCACGTCATTGTCTCGTTTTCAAAGGCTGTGCTTGAAACATCGTGCTGTTGTGAGCGGCTGACACGTGTCCCTCGTCACTCGGTGCTGTCTGTCTTGCCACCTGGCCCTGCCATCGCTGCGGGTCCTTCTCCCTGCATGCCCTGTGGCAGCGCTGCCCAGCGCTGTGGGGAAGCCAGCTGCGAGCACAGAAGGCAACCACGCGCTTCCCTTGCACCACGTCACGTGTGGTGGTTCGTACTGAGCAGGGGAAGGAAGGAAGGCAGGATCCCCGTTTCCATCACTTGAACTTCAGAGGTGCGCACGGGCGGCCTTTAAAACCCTTCCCCCACCCCCCCCTCCCGACTGGGCATCTGGGCGCGCTTCTTCCCGGTTTCTCACCGGCTTTCCCTAGTGCACAAGGGCACACATGGTACCGTGTTGGGAGCATAATACCATGGAAATAAGGGGGTGGAAACTGCTGGATGCTAGGGCTTCCCCATTCCGGAAGAGGGGTCCCCTGTGTGTCCCTCCCCCGCCCCGCCCCCGCGCCCTGAGGGTCGCCTGCCATCCCTGTGGGCGGGGCTCGAGGCGCGGCTGCAGTTGGCCTGCCGGCCTCCAGAGGGCGACCCGGAGTCCCCACGTCTGGGCGGCGAGGGCCCGGGAGCTCCGCGGTGGGCGCCGCCCGGCAGCTGCTGCGGCCGCGCTGGGCTTGGGGCTGCCTCCCCTAGCCGAGGGGAGGGAGTCCGAGAAGCCCCTTGGGGGAGCAGCCTCAGTCCCTGGAGTTGGGGGCAGGAAGGACCGGGGATGAAGTGCGGACGAGCCGGGGCGCAAGTCCCAGGGCAGGAAGGAGGGCGGACCCGGAGGCACTTGCTCCCAGCAGCCGGCACACCTCAGCTCTTTTGCAGAGGCGGGCCCGGGGCTCAGGGTGCCCCTCAGCTGACGGCCCCTCTTCCGGACACTGGGCCTGGGGGCGCCCGCCCCATTCAGGCACACCTTGCGCGGGCCTTCCCCTGGCCCACCTCTGACCTGGGTTCTTCTCCGGCCCGCACTGGCGTGCCCTCAGCACAGCGGGGCAGTGCCAGGGCGGGGGATCTCCCTCTCAGGCCCCCCCTGTGCTCTCGGGCCTCGCCGGCCTGGGCCCGCTTGGCCCCTTGCCCCCACCGCCCCCCCCAGCTCGGCCTCCGAAGAGACAGCCGCCCGCCCCCCAGGGACTGCCTTCCCCAGAGGAGGCCTCCAGGGAGGGCCTGCCAGGCCTGTGGGGCCACGGGGAGCAGCAGCACTGACAGCCCTCCTGTGGGCGCACCAAGGAGGAAGCTTCGCAAGAAGGTTTTTCTGGGACCCGCTCGTGGGTCCCGGGGCTGGGGCGCGGGGAGGCCCCGGGAGTTCGGGGCAAGTACGGGAATGTCTGCTGCCGGCACCTCCCCGTTGGAGCCGGCCCCACGGTTCCTCTGGGCAGGAGAGGCTGCCTGCGGGCCACCCGGATCCCCAGCTTCCTCGTGGCAGGCTGTGTGGGGCCACGGAAAGCTGGCCCGCGGCCCGGCGACAGCGCTGACAGGCCCGAGAGTAGAGCAGCAGAGACCACGAGGGGCTGGGGCTGGAGGGCCCACGGGCAGGGACGGGCAGCAGGAGTGTCCAGCGTGGCCTGGGCCGGTGTGGCTCCAGCCGGGCCCTCTGCCCGAGGACAGCTTGTACACCGGCCGGGGCTGAGGCACCGCGCACGTCTCAGCTTGCTGAAGGGGCCTTGGCAGTTCTGACTCCTCCCCCGCCCCACCGCCAGCCCACGGAAGGGGCAGGAGCAGGGAACGGATTCAGTTGGAGGGGGGGCCCTGGGAGGTGACAGAAGCCCGGGGCCTCTGTCCCCTCCTCTGAACATGGGAACAATGACAGCGATAGCCACCTCGTGGGAATGCCGCCAGGCGTCGGGGAGATAGATGCCCTGGGACCCCAAACCGTGGATCCAGCCCCCAGAGGGTGGGGAGCCCGTGCCCACTCACCCCCCCTTCCCTGCTACGGACTTGATAATGCGGCCCCCAGCCTGAGCTCCGAGTCTGCACCCCCGAGAGCACGCTTGCGAAGGATGAGAAAGGAGGGTCTGGGCACTGAGCACAGGCCCGGGCAGGCCAGCCAAGCATGGGCCATGGCGAGCCATGCCTCTAACTTCCCTGCCCCAGGAGTGGCTTGCAGGCCACCCCGCCAGTGACCCTCGCGTCCTGGGCACTCCCTGCTCCTGAGCTGAACCAGCCAGGCCAGACAGACAGGGCCTCGGCCACATCAGTGCCATCCCCAGGTGGGTCTTTGGATTCCTCTAACTGCCCCCCTGGGACTGAAAGCCCTCACTGGCAGGGACCCTTGCCAGCTCAGGGCTCACGTCTCGGCCCCCTGCACCCAGCCTAAGGGCTGGGGAAGAGCAGTCAAAAAAGGCCCGTGGGTTAGTGGGATTAATGCCCTCCCACTCCTCCCTGCTCCGGTCCTTGTAGAAAGGACAGGAAAATAGCCCAGGCCCCTCTCATCTCTTGATAAGATAAGGAACCCATCCATCTTGCTCCCTTCTCCCACTGGGGAGGAGGGAAGGGCCCCTACCCCTGCCAACCCCACTGAGCCCCCAGTCCAGACCCTGCACCTGCTCTTGACACCCACCCGCCAGCAGGCCTTGCGTAAGTGCGAGACAAGGCACCCATCCATCTCTTTCCTCCTCCTCCAGCCGGAGGCCTCCAGCCCTGACCCCTGCCCTGGGTTTCCTGGCCTGGTCCAGGGACAGCTTCTCCCATGACGTGATCAAGTCAGCCGGTCCAGGCCTCCAGGCGAGATAAAAGGATTGTGCTGACCGGGGGCGGAGGGAGCATCAGAATGGCATTCAGGGCAAAGGCACGAGGGTGGCTGGCAGGGCGCTGGCTGTCCCTGAGCTGGGCACGCGCACTGGGCACCAGAGCCGCTCCGGCCGCCAAGGCGGTGCTGCCCTTCGAAGCCATACCCCAGTGTCCCGGCAACAAGTGGATGAGGGTGCTGCAGATCTGGAAGGAGCAGGGCGCTGAGAACTTCCACCTGGAGATGCACCGGACCTTCCAGGAGCTGGGGCCCATTTTCAGGTAAAGCCCTTCCTGCCCGCCTCGCGGAGAGCACCCTAACCGGCTCTCGAGACTGGCGGCTGAGGCCCGGCTGGGCGCCGCGCACGCGCACTGCCACATCCCAGCCGGGCGCCGGCGGCCTGTGCTCGGTCTGCGTCCTTCGGAAGGCAGGCTGGGGGCTGAGCAGTGCCTGGGAGCTGCTCTGTGCCTTTGACCATGGACACCGCGGCTCTTGGTGAGGACCGAGCGCTCCCCGGCCGGCCGCTGAGAGGGCAGAGCGCAGACAGGAGAGCAGGAGAGGCTTCCTGGGTCAGACAGCGGGAGGGAGCGCCTGCTCCGAGCCCCGGTCCACGGTCCGGGAGAAGGGAGAGGCCAACAGGAGACAGGCCGGCTTGGTTCTGCGGCGTGAGGCCCAGGGTGGGACACGGCCCCCCAGCAGGGCTCTGAGCTTTGTCCCGCAGGTATGACGTGGGAGGGACGCACATGGTGCACGTGATGCTGCCCGAGGACGTGGAGAGGCTGCAGCGAGTGGAGAGCCCTCAGCCCTGGAGGCCGCCCCTGGACCCCTGGCTGGCCTACCGACAGCATCGTGGGCACAGATGTGGCGTGTTCTTGCTGTGAGAGCCAGTCGGGGGGGTGGGGGGGCGGGGCGGGGGCGCAGCCCGGTGCAGGGATGGCGAGGCCGGGAAGCCCGCCAGCGCCCCCGGCCCAGGGCCTGTGCAGGGGGGGGGTTCCTGTGTGTCCCGGGGCTGGGGAGGGGCGGTGGGGCCCTGGCCCTAGAGAGGAGGAAGGACGACCACCGCCATTAGGGAGCACCCACACTGCGCCCGCCTCCGCAGGTTGTCCCAGCAGGGTGGGCTTCTCCCTTCCTATAGGTCGGGAAGCCCAGGCCTGGGGGAGGGGAGTTACTGGCCAGGCGTCCATGTCAGCGTGTGCCGGGGCCTCACGGCCCCCCGGGACTGCAACCCTCCGCAGGAGGACCCCTGCGGGATTTAGAGTTGAGGGCAGGTAGCTTGGGAGGGAGAGGCTGGGGGATGGGGAGAGGGCGGCCAGTAGAAGAAGGCACCTTTGTTCAGAAGCTAAACTCTAAGTGGGTGCCTGCATGAGCATGAGTCTGTGCGTGTGCCCGTGTGTGTGTGTGTGTGTGTGTGTGTGTGTGTGTCTGGAGGGAAGGTCTGACTGGGTGGACCTCTCTGCGCCCTGGGAATATGCTTGTGGTGTGTGTGTGGGCGCTCACGTGTGCTCACCTGTCATAAGCGTGTGAATGCAGGTGTGTTTGCCCATGTTGGCTTGCTCCCGTTCGTGTTCATGCCACCGCATGCGTGTTGGCACGTGTGCATGTTTTTGCTCATTGTTGTGTGTGCGTGCATGTGGTTTTGTATGTACCTGCATACGTATGATTGTGCCTGCGTGTGTGTGCATGGTTTTGAGCATTCCAATGTGTTGTGGGAGTTGTGCTTGTGGGAATTGTGGGTGTGTTCACGTGTGTTGTCTGTGTCAGCGAGCACATATTCAGGTGTCCCGGGGTGTCATGTGCCCCTTTCTGGGCATATGTGTGTGCACTGGTGTGCAAATGTGCACGTGTGTGCATGTGATCATTCTCACTACCTGCAGGCAGCCAGCCGAAGAAAAGAAGGTGTTTCTGCTCGAATGTGGCTGAGAATGCAGATCCCTCCCCACCATTCGCTGGAGACATCTGCAGAGCCCCCGTTGCTTTGGGCTCTGGTTTGCTTGGAGAAAAGCTGGTCTAATTTAATCATCATCACCCTGTTGGGGAGAATGCTTTTCTCCTCCTCCTCCCCCTCCTCCCCCCCATCCTCCTCTTCTTCTTCTGCCTCCTCCTCTTCTTTTCTTCTTCTTCTTCTTCTTCCTCGTCCTCTTCCTCTCCTCCTCCTCTTCTTCTTCGTCTTCCTCTTCTTTTCCTTCCTCTTCTTTTTCTCCTTCTCCTCCTCCTCCCCCTCTTCTTCTTCTTCTTCCTCTTCCTCTTCCTCTTCCTCTTCTTTTCCTTCCTCTTCTTCGTTTTCTCCTTCTCTTCCCCTTCTTCTCCTCCTCCTCCTGCTTGTCCTCCTCGTGCTCCTCTTCCTTCTTTCTAATTGAAGTATAATTAACATACACTGTTATATTAGTATCAGGTGTACAATGTAATGATTCAACATTTCCATACATTACTCAGTGCTCATCATGACAAGCGTACTCTTGATCCCCATCCCCCACTCCCCCCCAAACACACACCCACCTCCTCCCCTCTGGCAACCACCAGTTTGTTCTCTGTATTTAAGACTCTGATTTTTGTTTGTCTCTTTCTTTCTGTGTTTGTTCCTTTGCTTTGTCTCTTAAATTCCACATATGAGTGAAATCTTATGGTTATCTTTCTCTGACTTTTTTCGCTTAGCATGTTACCTTCTAGATCCCTCCGTGTTGTTGCAAATGGCAAGATCCCATTCTTTTTAGTGACTGAGTAATATTCCATCTTAGATAGAAATATCTATCTATATATCTTGGCAGTCATAAATAGTGCTGCAATAAACATCGGGGTGCAGGTATCTTTTCGGGTTTGTGTTTTCATTTTCTTTGGGTAAATAGCCAGTAGTGGAACTAGTTTTAACTTTTTGAGGAACCTCCATACTCTTCTCCAGAGCGGCTGCAACAGTCTGCATTCCCAGCAACAGTGCACGAGGGCTCCCCTTTCTTCACATCCTCGCCAACACCTGTCGTTTCTTGTGGTTTTGATTTTAGCCATTCTGACAGGTGTGAGGTGATGTCTCATTGTAGTTTGATATGTATTTCCCTGATGATGGGTGATGTTGAACATCTTTTCGTGTGTCTGTTGACCATCACTATGTCTTCCTTGGAAAAATGTCTATTCAGGTCTCCTGCCGTTTTTAATCGGACCGTTTATTTGCTCAGTGTGCGATTGCATGAATTCTTTATCTGTTTTGGATATTTAGGTTATCATATGTATCATTGGCAAATATCTTCTGCCACTCAGTAGCTTCCCCTTTTCCTTCTGTTGACGGTTTCCTTCGCCGTGCAAAACCTTTTCATTTTGGTGAAGTCCCGATAGCTTAATTTTGCTTTTCTTTCCCTTGCCTCAGGAGACACGTCTAGAAAAATGTTTCTACAGCCCATGGCAGAGACATTACTGCCTGTGTTCTCTTCCTGGAGTTTTATGGTTTTGGGTCTCACACTTTGGTCTTCCATCCACTTTGAGTTTATTTTTGTGTATGGTGTAAGGAAGCGGTCTAGTTTCATTCCCCCGCATGGGGCTGCCCAGGTTTCCCAGCACCATTTGTTGAAGAGACTGTCTAGATTAATTGACCATACAGTCGTGGGTTTGCTTCTGGGCTTTCTCTCCTGTTTCACGGATCTGTGTGCCTGCTTCTGTGCCAGCACCATCCAGAACAATCACCACCGCTTTGTCGTATAGCTTGAAATCTGGGATTGTGGTACCGCCAGCCTTGTTTTTCTTTCTCCAGGTTGCTTTGGCTGTTCAAGTCTTTGGTGGTTCCATACAAATTTTAGCATCATTTGTTCTAGCTCCGTGAAGAATGTTTTGGTCTTTTGATAAGGATTGCACTGAATCTGTAGATTGCTTTGGGTCGTGTGTACATTTTAACAAGATTTGTTCTTCCGAACCTTCAGCGTGGGATAGCTTTCCATTTCTTTGTGTCATCTTCAGTTTCTCTCATCTTGTCTTACCGTTTTCAGAGTACAGGGCTTTCACCTCCTTGGTTAAGTTTATTCCTAGGCATTTTGTTATTTTTGGTGCAATTGTAAATGGGACTGCTTTCTTCATGTCCTTTTCTGCTACTTCGTTATTAGCATACAGAAATGCAACAGGTTTCTGTATACTACTTTTGTATCCTGCGACCTTACTGAATTCAGTTATCAGTTCTAGTTTTTGTTTTGTTTTTTGGTGGAGCCTTTAGGGTTTTCTATATATAGTATCATGCCATCTATAGGTGGGGAGAACATTTTATTACTTCTTCCTTACCCATTTAAGTCGTAGCCACAGCAATCAGACAAGAAAAAGAAATAAAAGGCATGCAAATTGGAAAGGAAGAAGTAAAACTCTGGGCTCTGTTTGGAGTATATTACGTGAGAGGCGGTTTGGCTCCTGCCCTGGAGGAGCAGGAGACACGCGGGGGCAGGACTAGGTGTGACTGGCACAGGGGCAGCATTCTCAGCAACAGGGAGGGTGGGAGGTGAGGGATGCCAGGGGCCTCTCACTCTGGGGCATGGTGTGAGCAAAGGTCGACAGGAGGGCCAGCCTCCCTCCTTCCTCCCGGGAAAGGGAGGGCCCGGATGGGTGCTGATGTGCCCGCAAGGGACCCCGTAGGTGTGCACGAACAAACGCCACGAACCCACGTGGCACGGCCAGGCAGAGGTTCTGGGCTCAACCCACTTTAGACTGGAGCACGCTGGGCACAGCACACAAGGCCTCCCTGAGAGAAAGGGCTGCAGCCGAGGCCGACAGGCGGGCAGCCTGCTCCCTAGGACCAGCAGGCAGCTCCCTGCCTCACCCCTTCCCCTTGGAGACAAGGAAGATGGGGTCCAGGGCTGGCCCCCAGCTGCTGAGCCTGGCTTCCCTGAAGCTCCTCTCTCTGCTCTACAGAAATGGGCCTGAATGGCGCTCGAACCGACTGAAGCTCAACCCAGACGTGCTGTCACCGCAGGCCGTGCAGAAGTACATCCCCATGGTGGACGGGGTGGCGAGGGATTTCTCAAGGGCCCTGAAGTCGAGAGTGCTGCAGAATGCCCGGGGGAGTCTGACCCTGGACATCCAGACAAGCATCTTCTACTACACCATAGAAGGTAGGGAGGTGCCGGGCTCGGTGTGGCAGGGGCAGGCCAGGAACTGGGACTGGGACGGGGCAGGTGTGCGGGAGGAGACCCCCGTGAGGCCATTGGCTGCCCGGGGCTCAGCAACCGTACCCTCTCCACAGCAAGCAATTTAGCCCTTTTTGGAGAGCGGCTGGGCCTCCTCGGCCATAGCCCCAGTCCTGCCAGCCTGAACTTTATCCGGGCTCTGGAGGCCATGTTGAAGTCCACCGCACAGCTCATGTTCATGCCCAGGGGCCTATCACGCTGGACAAGCACCAAGGTGTGGAAGGAGCACTTCGAGTCCTGGGACTACATCTTCCAGTATGGTGAGGGCCAGAGACGGGGCCAGCTCGTGGAAGAGAGTTGGGTAGCAAGGACACCAGGGTCCCCAGTGTCCACTCCCCAAAGCCTGGGGGGAGGGCCGAGGCCACATCGGGGGGCTCGTGGCGTCTCTGTGGCCCGAGAGACTTGGCGAGGAGGCCGGGCTGGGCTGGGCTCCTGGCACAGGAGCAGGGTGTCTTGGGGGTGTGGTGGGCTGCCGGGCAGGGGATTGAGGAGAAGGCTGCCCAGCACCAGGCCCGGGCCCCTCTGTGCCCCACAGCCAACAATGCCATCCAGAAGATCTACCAGGAGCTGGCCCTCGGCCGCCCGCAGCACTATAGCGGCATCGTGGGGGAGCTGCTGATGCATGCAGACATGACCCTGGAGTCAGTCAGGGCCAACTCCATCGATCTCACCGCCGGGAGCGTGGACACGGTCAGGCCAGTGACCCGCCCTGCCCTAGGACACGGAGCCTCCCAACTACAGGCAGCATCCCCCCATGCCAAGTGGCTCCTACAGGCCCCTGTTTGGAGCCAATGGAAGGCTCTGATCTGAGGGGGGTGTGGGGGGGGGGACACGACTTGGGAGCTGACCTTCCAAGGGAAGGGGTGGCAGTTGCTTGGGAGAGAAGCCGTGCTCCAGGCCCAGTGCAGAATGGCTGCGGCCCAGGGACATGCAGCAGCACAGACCCCCTTCAAACGTCTGGGTCCTGGGAAGAGGGGAGGGCTGAGATGCAGCTGGAGGGATACCTGCACAAGGAGCCCCTCCCAGAGACAGAGTACATTTGGCTCTCATTAGAGATGCTTTGGAGGTGACGGGCTGACGACGGAAAGGGCAGCACGGGGCTCCAGCTTGTGGAAGAGAGAGCAGATGGCAACCCAGCTCACAGGGGTCGGGTGTAGGGAGGTGCAGGCAGGTCCCAGGGCGTGGAGTGCAGCCGAAGCCTCCTGCCCCTAGACCCAATCTTCATCTGCCCGCATCCCCGAGGTCCCCTCTGGGCCAGGCACCCAGGCTTCTGAGCAGAGGCACAGACCCCAGGGTGGAGAGACTCCCTGAGCAGAGGCTGAGGAGCAGCCAGAGTTAGGGTCCAGGGTGGCCCCTTCATGTTAGGACCCCAGGGTCTGGGCTGACCTGCCTGTGGGTGCCCAGGAGAGATCACCCAACGGGTCCGAGGATGTGGAACAATACCCTACCTGTGCCCCCACCCCCCCCAACACCTGAGTAGGTGGACCCCCAGGTGGGTGAGAAGCTGGCCCTGAGGTGGCTGGAGGAGGAGGCCTGGATCTTCACCAAACTTGGGGACACCTTCCCTGAGGGATTCAAGGGAAGTAGATGAGGCAGGTTTTAGATCTTGAGGTCTCAGATCCCCAGGGTCAGTCCTTCTCTGGGCATGCACGTCACTGTGGAGCAGAGGAGACCCATCCCCAGGGGAAGACCATCTTCCTGAGGGAGATGCCCTGGGGAGCGGAGGTGCATGGCCTGTGCCAAGGTCTGAGCCCTGCACCCGTGGCTCCTGCAGACGGCCTACCCCTTGTTGATGACTCTCTTCGAGCTGGCTCGGAACCCTGACGTGCAGCAGGCCCTACGCCAGGAGAGCCTGGTGGCCGAGGCCAGGATCGCTGAGAATCCCCAAAGGGCAACCACAGAGCTGCCCCTGCTGCGGGCGGCCCTCAAGGAGACCTTGAGGTGAGTGTGGCAGACCCTGGCTGCCCCGGCTGCCCTGGCCCCACTGTCTGGAGAGCAGTGCTCAGTGGGGCCTGCAGACAGATCCTGGGGCTGAGGAGCAGTTTGCCCAAGATGCATGCCCCGTACCTCCTCTTCTTCTCCCTGAAGGGATAGGGACACTTCTTCCTCTGGGATCCCGCTCCAGCGCCCTGGGCGCCATCCTCGGCCATGCCCTCCTTGGCCGGGGCTGCTCAGGCTGGGAGAGCTTTGTCTGAGCTCAGGAGGTGCAAAGAACCAGCTCCTCATGATCTGGGCTTCCTGGTGCCAGAAGCGACTTGTGAGGGTGGCGGGGCGCTCCCCTCGGCCGGTGGCCTCTGGGCTAGGAAGGCCGCAGAAGGGAAGCGAGGGTCCCTGTGACAGCTGGACCCTGTTGGATGCCCCTCTGCACAGGCTGTACCCCGTGGGTATCTCAGTGGACCGACAGGTGGGCTCGGACGTGGTGCTGCAGGACTACCACATCCCGGCAGGGGTGAGTGGGGCTCCACAGGCCCTCCAGCAGATGCCAAGCCCCGCTGACCTTTGCCCGCAGGGGGGCGCTGACGCTGCCCCTCCCCACCTGTCCGCAGACCTTGGTCAAGGTGCAGCTCTACTCCCTGGGTCGAAACCCCTCTGTGTTCCCGAGGCCCGAGCGCTATCATCCCCAGCGCTGGCTGGACAACAGGAGCTCTGGCACCAGGTCCCCCAACCTGGCCTTCGGCTTTGGCCTGCGCCAGTGCCTGGGGCGGCGCCTGGCAGAGACAGAGATGCTGCTTCTGCTGCACCACGTGAGCAGGCCTGGGCC